TTGGAGCAGAGCCAGACGGGGCCCTCGGGCGACCCCGCCGCGTCCGCGTCTGTGTCCGCGTCCGGTGCGACAGCGGCCCCCGCCGGCTCCAGCAGGAAGCGCACGTGGCGCTCCCGTGTCCAGCGCCCCGGGCCCGCGGGCGCGGCCGGAGTGTCCTCCCGCTGCTCCTCAGGAGCCCTGGGGACGCGGCACGGACGGGGCTGAGGCCAGTGTCGCCTCGGGGCAGGGTCAGCGGCGTCCCACCCACGCTCCTCTGCCCTCTGGGGTCAGGGTCCCCGGGGAGGGCGCGGGCGGCTGGACCGAGCGGTCCCGGCCTCGGGAGGGGGCTCGAGGGCGGGTGTGGGCCGGGTGGGGTGCGGACCGGCCCGGGGTCCCTCACCTGGGCTGCGGCTCCTCCTGCCCGTCGGGCTGCTCCGCGTGGAGGGCGCGGTGGATTCTCTAGGAGCCCGGACAGAGGCCGCGGGGGTCAGCGTTGGCCGGAGGCCGCCCCCCGCCCCGCGCCCGCGTGGCCGCGCTCACCTGGCTCGTGTGCAGCCAGTACTGCAGCCGGTGGCCCCTGCGGATGCGCGGCAGCGCCAGGCGGTAGAAGACGTGCTCGCCCAGAGAGCAGAGCAGGGCGCTGCCCAGGCCCAGGCAGAGCAGCACGAAGAGCCCCGAGAAGTGGTAGATGCCCATCTGGAGGGTCTGCGGGCGGAACGCGGGCACACGCCCCTCACGGTCACGGCAGACCCTGGGGGCCCTGACGTGGGGGGACGGAGGCTGGGCTAGAGAGAGAAGCCTGGGGTTGTGGGGTTGGATTGGGAGGTGCAGGCTGCCAGTATTGAGGAATGAGACTTCATGGAGGAGAGGGCACTGGAGCTGGGGCTTCTTAGGATGAGTAGGAGTGCACAAAAGCAGACAGATAGTCTTGGGGAGGAGCAGGGTGTTGGCCACCTCAGGCTCAGGGACCCCGCCTACCCCCACCCCGTGTCCGGGGCCCGCGCACCTCTGTAACGGCGAACACGCGCTTCCCACAAGGCACCATCTTGTACCACTTGTCGTGGAGCAGGTCCATGAAGCCCGAGGACTTGTAGCGGCTGATGGACTCGGACAGCTTGGAGGTCAGCGGCGAGTTCTGGGGGAGGCCGATGCCGTAGCCTGGGGGAGGCGGCGTCGGGTCGGGGCCGGCCGGGCGCAGCCGCGGGGGAGCGTCCCCCCCGCGTCGAGCCCCCAGCGGCTCCCCGCGGCCCCGGGGTCCCCCGGCCCGGGCGCCCCCTCACCCTCGATGGCGAAGGGCTTGCCCACGGTCAGCAGCCTGCAGTCGGCGTCGATGGAGACCTCATAGTCCAGGAGCGCCTTGTCCATGATGAAGGCGTTGAGCTGGGGGGGGTCGCTCCTGCCGGGGCGGGGCGGGGTGGGGTGAGCGCCCCTGCCCCCCGGGGCCCCCTCACCTGGCACCCCTTCCCCCGCCCCCACGCCCCAGCCTCACGTGAGCATGGCGACGCCGCGGGGCGTGGTGGGCGCGCTGTGGCCCCGCATGTGCGCGTGCATCTCGGGGAAGCTCGCCGTGATGTAGGCCTCGGCGCTGCTCTCGCGCACGGTGCCCACGCGGAAGCCGGGGGGCGGGCGGTGCAGCTGCGGGCCGGACGGGTCAGCGCCCCGCTCCTCGGCCGCCTCCCCACCCCCCCCACCCCCCGCCTCTGCTCCGGCCCGGCCCCGCCCGCCCCCTCCGCCCGGTGACATGGGGCCGGGTCATTCTCTGGGGGGCCGTCCTGGGCACTGTGGGGGTAGAGCAGCATCCCACCCACTCGATGCCAGGAGCGCCCCGGGGTGACAACCACAGATGTCCCTAGATGTGGCCCAGTGTCCCCAGGGGGGCAGGACCACCTGGTTGTAAACTGCTTTTCTAAATGCCCGCGTGTCCATCTCCACATGGACTCGGCCCTGAACCCCAGGCCGCGCCTCCTCCCCATACGCCCCTCCTCGCCCTCTCCCCTTAGGGTCACACGGGCGCCCCAAGCTGACCACGTCCAGGACCCCGTCCCTATCCGCTCCCTGCACCTGCCCCCCTGGGTCCCCACCGGTGAAGGCGGCTCTGTGCCCCCTTCTCTCCCTCTGTCATCTCCATGTCCGTCCATCTGCACGTCCTGTGGGCTCAGCCTTGGGGACACTCGGCCCCTGCCCACTGCTCTGCGCTCTCCATGGTCCCCACCGTCCCCGCTGGACCGGCACCGTCCCCTCAGCTGGTCTCGGGGCTGCCCCCCGCCTGTGCCGGCTCCTGGTGACCGCGGGAATGGTCGAACTGGCCACCACCTCCTCCCTCCCAAAGCCAGACCCGAGGCGGGTGGAGCCCCAGAGCAGAGCCATCTAGAACTTTCTGCCCACGGAAACGCCGTGTAGGGTGCTGTTTTTGACTGGCTGTTGAGCGGTTACATCTAATGTAATTAAATTAACTTAAAAAGTAGCCACAGGTGGCGACCGGCCGGTGCCTCGGCCAGCCCGGCGTCCGGGGTTTATTAGAGTTCACAGAGGACGCGGGCGGGGGGGCAGCGGAACAGAATAGACACCCCCGGGGGACACAGCCGGCCACATGTGACAGCGGGAGACACCATGGGACCAAAAATCCCACGAATTCTCCCAAACAAGCAAATCACCGGGAAAGACAGGTGGAGAGAGAACCGAGAGTTGAGAGTTTTCTTCTTCTGTGGTGTTGGCACGTTTAAGGTCCACATTCAAACAAACCGTGAAAAATGAAAGACACCCGGGAAAACAGGTCCCCAGTGTTTGCTGATGTCCCCAGGATATTTTGGGTGAAGAGACACAAGGTCTGGGATTTGCTCCATGATAACCCAGCACTGGGGCTGGCATGTGGATTTTTGGAGCTGGGTGATGGGGTCGTTTATGGCTCCCTACTCAGGAATACTCAAGATCTTGCATTTAAAAAGAACATGGAGAGTGGGGTGTGTGCCTGCTCTGCCCGCAGCCCTCCGAGGCTCCTGGTGAAAGTTCTTTCTCGGACAGAGCCACTCTCGAGGCTCAGGTCCTTCTGTGTCCACGGGCCCTGCACGATCTGTCCCCTTTGTCCCCCCCCGCCATCCCCCTTGGTCACTTGGCTCCTGCCCCAGGGCCTTTGCACAGCTGTACCCTCTCTCTGCCACTCTCCTCCTGACATCTACATAAAAGTCCGTCATGCGTCACCCCTCCTTGACAAATCCTGAACCCATCTGAGAAAACATCCCTGCCTAGCCCTCCCCGTGTCCCCACTCTGTCTTATTTTTGTCACCACCTCACACCCCGGCTGTTTTGCCTATCTGTCTGGACTCCTGCCATCTCTCCCCTGGGACCTGGATCTTTGCCTGTTTCATCCCAGCTGGGTCCCCAGCACCTGGCACACAGCAGGCGCTCCATAAATGCTCGAGGGACCTCCCAGCTCCGCCCGGGGCCCCGCGGCCGCCCACCTTGGGGTCGTGGATCCCCGACAGCTCCTCGAAGGTCTTGTCGCCCACCATGACGGCGGCCAGCTTGGCCGTGTAGCTGGACAGCACGAGCAGGCAGAAGATGGCCCAGAGGTTCATGAGCAGGCGGCCGGTGGGGCACTTGGGCGTCTTGCTGGAGACGGTGCGGCCGAAGAGGATGGCGTAGCAGAGGTTGAGGGCGGACGAGTAGGAGAAGACGGTGGCGCGGTTGCGGCCGCGGGGCGTGAGGCCATAGGGGCTGCGCCACTCGTAGAGCGTGAGGAAGAGCGCGGTCAGGTGCAGGGCGGCGAAGACGCCCAGCCACATGGCCCAGTGCAGCGGCCAGGTGAAGGCGCCGAGGGGCGAGGCGGCGTCCCGCGCGCGCACCAGGATGCCCAGGCTGGTGGCGAGGAAGGGGCTGCTGAAGTCCAGCACCCGCGAGCGGGCCGAGTTGATGCTGAAGCTGGTCACCGCCATGTGCGCCCGGCCGGCCAGCAGGTCGCCCACCAGGCCGGTCCAGCGGCCGCCGCGCAGGGCGCCGTACTTGCCGTCGCCCACGATGTAGAGCTCGACGTCGAAGGGCGCGTCCTCCGCCAGCCGCGCCAGCAGGTCCATGCAGTAACCGTAACAGCAGCGGCGCACGGCCCGGGGCGCCGAGCCGTCGGCCAGCGCCGCGAACAGCGCGTCCAGGGCGGCCGAGTCGTTGGTGCCGGGCGCCAGGCACAGCTGGCCCGCCGGGCACTGGCCGTCCTCGTCCGGCTCGCGGGCGAACACGAACGGGTGCTCCACCAGGGTCACCACGCGCAGCCTCGGCCGCGCCCCGGCGCCCGGCGGGGGTGGGGGCCGCGCGGCCACGCCCCCCGGCTCCCGCTCCAGCCGCCCGTCCCGCCAGGTGCCCACCGTAGCCCAGGCCGGCGCGCCCCGAGGGTCCTGGCGCAGGCTCCACACGCGGAAGGCCCGGGACATGTGGACCCGGGAGGAGCTGGTCACCCACACGGGCCCCGTGCGGCCCTGGAAACTCGTGTTAGCCAGGAACCTGGCGGGAGGGGGACGCGCGTCAGGGCCGCAGGGGACCCCCAAGCCCAGCTCAGACCCCGTCCTGCGCCTCTCTGAGTGCCCACACCTGGGGACCGCTGTGGAGGCTGTCGGGTCCCCGACACCTGATCCCTGGGCCAGCCGGGGCTGTGACCACACCCCTGCCGGAAGCCGACAACTGACCGCCAGGTGCAAATGCCCAGGCGGGACCCCCGGGCTCTGGGGCGCTGTCCGCCCTCTCGCCGACCTCGCCCAGCTTGTTCCTGACCTGGTCCCCTGCCCACGCTGACCAGAATCCTTTCCTCAGGCTCTGCTTACACCAAGACAGGGACAAAACCACCTGTCATGTGGGGACGGTGCCCTGTATACAGCAGGTGCCCAATGACGAGCCCTTCTGTGACCTGCAGGCACACACAGCTCCAGGTGGGGCCCGCACACCCTCCCCGAAGCGGGGTCCCCACTCACTGCGCCAAGAGGCGGCCCGAGGACTCGGGCCCGGCGGGCTGAGGGTCGTTGCAGTCGACCCCGGCGGGGAGGAGGGCTCGCTCTGGCTGCACACGGGCCGCGCTGCCCAGCGCCCGGGCCACCAGCTCCACGGCGTCGTGGACAGCGGCCTCCAGCGGGGGCCGGGCCACCTCGCCCAGTGCCAGCAGCCCGGGCGGCAGGCCCTCGGTGGGCAGGGCCTCAGCGGGCAGCGGCGTGCCCAGCAGCCAGTGGGGCCCCGGGGGCGCGGCCTGCAGCACGCGGCGGGCGCGGGCGGCGTCGCAGCCGAGGAGGACGGCCGCGGGCACCTGGGCCGTGCCCCCCGCCACCGCCCCCAGCGGGGCCAGGCGTGCCCGCAGCCCCGCCTCGCCCATGTCCGGCCGGCCCAGGTCCAGCACCAGCTCCGGGGCTCGGCCAGCCCGGCTCGTCCAGAGGGCCACCAGACCATGGGGGTCCCGCACGCGGCAGAGCGCCAGGCCGACGTCCTCCCAGGCGTGCGCCCGCAGCACCGACACCAGCACGTCTAGCAGCGTCTCCAGGGGGCTCGCCCAGGCCAGCTGCAGGTGGAACGGGTTCTGGGAAGGGGTGGGTCACAGTTAGGGCTGGAGACTTCCACGTCCCAGCACCCCCTCTCCACCCCCATCGGCAGGTGTCACTCATAACCCGATCTCGAGCCTGCCTCCTCCCAGCCCCACCCCTGCTCTACACCCTCTGTGGCTCCCCATCGCCATCGGCACAAAGCCCAGGCTCCTCGGCCGGATGTTCGGGGCCTGCTCTCTTGGCTCCGGCCACCCTGGTGGTCCCCCACTTCGAGACTTTTTCATGTGCCGTTCCCCAGTTGGAATACCTTTCTGCCTCTGTGCCAGCCAACTCCTATACATCCTTCAAAACCCAGCACCATTGCCCCTCCTCTATCCAGACGTCTCTGCTCCTCAGGCAGAACTCTGGCCCCCCTCAGGGCTCTCCCAGCCTTGTGTCCCTTGTTCACCCCCTTCCTGACCTCACGCACCCCACCCCCCCTCGAGGGCCAAAGACTGGAGTCCATAATTGTGAACTGGCTGCTGCCCTCATGCTCAGAGCCAAGCTGGAGCGCTTCCCCTTGGGGCTCCTCCTTACACACCAAGGGCCCCCGTGCCCAGCAAGCCCCGGGCTGAGCGGCCCCTCTGTGCCCAGCGGCACCCAGAAAGTTCTGGATTTGCTCTGAGCCTGTCTGGGAAGGACGAGAGAACTTTGCCAGACACCTAAGGGGGGCAGCGTGTCACTCGGTGGGGACAGGGCGCCAAGGTCTGGGGGAAAGGCCCGGGCTGCTGCTCAGTCCCTGGGGGCCCCAGCCTGTCCCCCCAAAGCCTGACGGTCCCTGCAGGGGCGCAGTTCCAGGAGGTGGCAGCAGAGGGCGCCACAGGATGGGATCTGGTCCTCATCTCTCCACTGGGCAGGGGCAGGGGGCTGATGACCCCGGGCTTCCTCCAGGGTCAAGGTCTCCCCTCCCCGAGAAGGACGGCCTGGAGGGGGCTCCCAGGTGGGCCTGGAGGGAGGGAGGCGCTGCCAGCCCCCGTGTCCCACGTTAGGTCTCTCCCTGCTGGCCCTGGAGGGGGCCTTCTCCTGGGGCACAGCGGGCTCCCCAGAGCCCTGCCAGCCGCCTTTCTGTCCTCCTTGTCCCATCGGCTACTTATTTGGATCCCAATCGGGGCCTGGGGGGTGGGATCAAGAAGAGAGAAGAAACTTCCAGGACTCGGAGGGGGTGGGGTGACAGGGTGGCCCTGGGGACCCGAGCAGGCCATCGAGGAGGCTCCGGGGTGGGGAGGCCTCGGCCTGGAGGGCGTCTGGGAGGATCCTGGAAGGAGGAGGGTCTGGACGCGCAGACCCAGAAACTGCGCCCCGGAGAGCGAATAGAAAGACCCGCTTCCCTCCCCAGCCCCGCGGCCACGCGCGGTGGAACCGGGAGGCGCCCTCACACGGGGAAGGGGGACAGGTCCTGGGGCCGGAAGGGGCAGGGGCCGCGGGGGGCGGGACTCCGCCACAAGGCCCGGGGACGGGGTCTACACGGGAGGAAGTTCTGAGGGTTCCGCCTTCGGAGTCCAGAGGCGTCCCGTGGGGTCCGGAGCTGCAGGTCCGGGGCTCTGGGTTCCTGCGCCCTGGGCTCCCGCCTCCGGTTCTAGGTCCCTACGCTCCGAGTCATCCGGGATCCAGGGGTCCAGGTCCCGGGAGCCCGGGGCAGTCTCGGGGCTTCCATCATCGGGACTCCGAGTCCCCACGCATCCAGACTCCTGGGCATCCCCGCGGGCTTCTGCATCCGGGGTCCAGAAGTCTGGGTCCCATGCGCCCCAGGGACCCCGGCATCCGGACCCCCGGTCCCCGCGCTGCAGGAGCGCCCCGGGGCCTCCCTCATCCGGCCCCCCGGTCCCCGCGCCCTGACCCCCGCGCCCG